AATGTAACCAACAAAGAAGAAAAAAAGACAAGCATTCTACTTCAACGTCTGCAAAGTTAGAAGAGTATAAGCAGAAACCTTGTAGCCTCTTGAAAGTCAAGGAAACATAATGTATGTTACAACTCACAAATTGCAAGTGCTTAACTTATTTGTAATAAATATCTTGTTGTTCACATTACCAACATCACATAATGTGTTATGCTGCCAACTTCTAGAAACATCCAAACAAGGCTATTTTTTAGTCACATAAAGCTTTAGTTAGATAGAAATGCTAGTTTTTGGATTGATGCACTAAATTTCAACTACTTCACTCGAAAATGCTAGACACAAACATCTGAAGCAGAAATTGATGATGAGGTCATGCATGCTCACTGCAAGTACATCTGGAAGTAAGACAAGCCAACAGTCTAAACCATTTCCTTTGAACTTGACAAGCACAGAATGCTTCAAGGAACACAAGCCATGATATGCTTTTATACAAGTTCCAACCTTTCAATTGCACACAAAATCAACTGTAAAATAACCTGCAGAGCCAGAGCATCACCTGATATGAAATATTGTTATCCAGTTCAGGACTGGATCAGACCTTCTCCTAAGATGGATCTGCAAAGGGCCTGTGGTCTTTGTATACCCAGGGCTCCTTCTTGGCTGGGATCAAAGCCAGGTTTACAAATACAGGTAGGGAGCAGTTATCATTCTGCAACTCCTGAAGAAGAGCTCCTCTCCCCAGCCTCTATCCACAAATAGCCACATTTTTATGATCCCTGAATGGTGTCAATGAACAATATCCTTTGAAGTTTGCCTACAGGCTCAGTGAGACTAGCTCAGGGGCACAGAAAAATTGCTGCCACTAAAAGTTCACTCATTTTATTAAGAAGTGAGGTGAAAAACCTCTCCCTCTACAGCTCTTCCCTGCTTTGGTCCTGGAAGATGTGTGGTTTGTCACTCAGTCTGCAGGAAATGTTTTTAGAAGATCTGCAACATGAAAAATGCTGAGATGTGGGAAATAATAAGTATCTCTAGATATGGCTTATGTCAGTTCCAGTGAATTGGTTCTTATATGAATACCAAAACCTGAGGTCATGCCAAGTTACTTGCACAAGGACTGCCTGAATCACTGATAGCAGCAGGACTAATGCAGCTCCTGTTTCCTTTATTTCCTCTCTCAGGTTAGACTTTCAAACAGGCCCTTCAGAGCAGCAAGAGAACTGTTTGGTATTTACATTAAAAAATTAAAAATATTTTAGATTTTAAAAAATGTTTTATGATAAGCATGAAGAGTGTAAGAATCACCACTTCAGCAATTAAAATAAAATGCTCCATAGTCACTATCTATCAGCATTACATATAGCTAAAGGGAAGTGTAATCCATTAGTAATTCAGTAATTATGGAAGGGGGCATTAAACATCAGTTTTCTATTTGAAAACAAGGTCAAAATGAAAAGAAAAAAATACATTAATTGTTAGCATGCATCGTCTTAATTTTAATTTTATTTTCAGGCCAGGACAGGAGCAATTGTATTTAAATTATTTTTCCACATATAATAATTTTTACTAAGAATATGAAGGAATAAAACTCTGGAAGGGCAGAGAGCCTCAAAATACCCATTGATAATTAACATAGGTAAAGGAATAAAGAGGTAAGAGAAAGCTAAAAAAAAGATGACACCGAGTTCCCCAGTTCACAAGACTGCACAAAAAATTTCAAAACCTCCCAGTTTACCTATATTTTACAGGCTACTTTGCCTCTAAGTATTACCAGAGAAAAATTCTTAAAGCAAACTCAAATATATTCTTAAAAGTTGCTGAACAGGCATAAACAAATATTTGAAAGCTTAGCCTTCTCCAAGAGATGTGATTCTTCCATTTATACAAAAATAAGTTGATATAAACAGAACCATGACAATTTATATTAGCTGTAGAACTTTCTCTTACTAACCTCAGTTACTTCCAGACCGTTTTGTACAAATAACTCTGTAAACATGCTGTTAATCCAGCATCCTCACATGAAACAAGTAACAGTGTTATTTCTAACTGGAAACATCAAGACCAAGAAAATCTCAGAAATGAGTGGAATATTTATACAACTTATTCCAAGTGAACATCACAAAAACTATTTTGGAAGGCCACATGGGATTTTTCACAAAAAAGTTCTGGAAAAGGTGGGATTTTTTTCTTGCAGTCAACAAGTCAAATCCAATAAGGATAGCTTCTAAAAACATTTTAATAAAGGTCATATTTGAGCTGTCACAAGCAAGAATATTAACACCCTAGCAATCAGCAATTAAGTCTGCACATCTGATAGCTTTACAAAATAGACTGGAGAACTGCATCAGACTACAAACATTTATTTAGATCGCAATGGCTATGGACAGGAGCTCAGGTTTTGTTTTTGTGGTTTTGTTTTTTTTTTTTTTTTTTTGTTTTTTTCCAGAAAACAAATAATCTTGTACAAAATCTAGGAAATGCAAAGGTGCTCCTGCCCTGGAAGATTTAACTGTTTCCTGTAATCATATCAAGCAGATGAATGCTGTGCCTGTATCAGAAGTTAATTTAACAGCATCCCCCAAGAGAGACAGCAGAGGCTGTAAGATCATCTATCCCAGAAAATGTATAGAGGATGGGAGAAAGGGAAAGCAGAAAAAGTGTAAGTTCTGTCTCTCATGATCATGGAAATAATGGCAACGACATGAGCATGTACCTTCTCCATAGCCTGAACTGGGTCCATGCCTCTTTGCGAAGAAAACTCCTCTGGTTACTAGATTGGTTGGGATTTTTTCCTGTACTAAATATAGTATCTCAAGCCTTTAAAATCATGGCTGTTACAGAGATGATGAACAGAATGTAAGGTTTGTAACATCTCCCATACAAAAAGTTCAGCATGAAATATTGCATCCAAGTTTCTTATCTTCATCTAAAAGTGACCTTTCTTTACCTAAAGTGATCATAATTCTAGATACCACGAAGCCCTTGAGTTTCAACACCCTGATAGTATGCCTGCATCCGTGTTGCTCCTGAGTTGGAGCAGGCACAGGCAAGAATGGTTGGAAAACCAGCACCTTCTGGCCATCCTCCATGCAGGGGCACTGGTACAGCTGGAGCACCTGCCTGGAGCACAGGGATGTTACCTGCAGAGTTCACTGCTCACTGAGGGTACGGCTTCCCCCTGGCCAGGAGAGGGTCTGTGGGGCAACAGGGGCTGTGCAGGGGAGCCACTTGCCCCTGCTATTGTCACCTGCATGCCCCAGGCAGGTTGTCCTGCTGCTGCCTTTGCATCTCCTAGGGAGCAGGACTGAGTCATTAGTAATTTATTATACATAAACTAGTGAAGACCATGCACCTCACTGCCACATTAAAGCCTATCTGTAAATATGAGGAGCCTAAGGATATTGTGTTTTGGTTTTTCCAATTCTTTGTCCATCAGCAACTTTCTGGCATGGACTTATTCCTGGAATATTTAATAAGGGAATCCTTAAGACTGTATTCTTTAAGAAATTAAACAGAACCAAGTAAATAATAAATGTAACTAAAAACACAGTGAATATATTACTTTTCTTTGTCTGAGTCAATAGAATAATGGCTAGGTAAGTAACAGAGAAGTGTCTGTCAAGGAGAAATTGTGCCTGACCTGGGTACTGGACAGAAAAAAATATCCATTTTCAGTTTAATATCAGGTATTAGGGTAGAAAACATCATGTACCTTGACTTTTCTACCTGATGTTATGTAAAAGCTCCGAGAACACAGTCTAAACAAAAGCACTGCAAGACACAGGAAAATTGTACTCAAATGTTAATCAATTGTTCCCTGAAAAGTAAAAAGAAGTATTAGATACCAAAATGTAAGTAAAGGCCAGTATCATGCAGCATTTTCATTAATTATTTCTAGCAATTAGAGAGTACATTTATTAAATTTGCAGATGACATCTGGCTGAAAAATGCTGCCACCTTGTTGGAGGACAAGTTTAACATAGAGACCAAAATTACAGAAATGCCTTAGAGGGGGAAAAAACTGTCAAACACCAAGTTCTGACACCTAGGTAGAAATAACACAAGATGGGGAAAAGCAGGTTGGGTAACAGTTCTAAATTCAAATCTGGTGCAGAGCAGACAAAGAAAGGTGAAAGGGAGAAAGGAGAAATTATGATAGCAATCTAAACATGTTAACAATATCAAGCCATGATGGCAAAAAGCTGTGATGTGTAACTATGAACAGAGCTTGCAAACGGGATGGGGAAAAACACCCACAGTCTTACTACTGCTCTTGGTTTTTGGCTACAAGACTGTAGCCTGACTGCCCATGCTTTGGTATTCTACACAGACCCAGTCCACTTAGTGAGAGATCAACACGGAGAAGGTTCCAGGGGACCTCACTGTAGCCTTCCAAAAGCTTAAGGTGGTGTATAAAAAGGAGGGAGAGAGACATTTTATACAGGCAGACAGTGACAAGACAAGGGGCAATGGTTTTACACTGAAAGAGGTTGGGTTTAGATTAGATGTTAGCATGAAATTCTTTACTCAGATGGTGGTGAAAGACTGGAATAGGCTGTCCAGAGAAGCTGCTGATGCCTCATCTCTGGAAGTGTTCACGGTCTGGTTGGATGGGGCCTTCAGCAACCTGGTCTAGTGAATTGCATCCCTGTCCTTGGCAGAGGGGTTGGACCTAGAGGATTCTGAAGTCCCTTCCAGCCAAACCATACTATTATCAGGAAAGACACAGAGAAATTGCAAGCAAGTTACAAGCAGGAGAAGACTGAAGGAGCTAGGGTTGTCTAATGTACTGAAGAAAAGGCTAAGGGGAGATTCAGATAACATGCTCTGCATATATAAATGTTAGCTGCCACAAGTAAGAAAATAAACAGTTGTCCCTGCTAGTGGTGGTTATGGAAAATGTGAAACAAAAGTAATTTATTTTGTGGCACCCTTTTTACTCAATTTCCTTCACAAATCTGAAGTGACTGGAAAATAACATTTTCATGTAAAATAATGAATTTAAAGAATAATGCTTCTAAATAAAAGAAAAGCTTTATTAACTTCATGTGTAACAATTTCATAAGGAATATTTTGAGATGTATCTTATATTTAAGTCAGTAAGACAAAATGTTTTAATAAAACAAATCAGCTTGCAAACACATACGGTATTATAAACTAAAATTAAAATCACTGTCCACTATCACAACAATTTATCCACAATTTATGATGACATGAAGTTTAGCACCTGAATGAAATTAGTAACAATAAAATAATTTAGCTTTGATTAATAAAGTCCTTTGATTTTCTTATTATTCCAAGAAAAATAGGAACAAATATTTCCAGATTTTCTTTCATGCCAAATGTTTTCATTTTCCACTTGGCTGAAGTAAGTTAATGTAAATGTTGGACATACACTTTGAAAATTATTGTGTATTGTGATCTACCAACACGGTCTTTCTACTTGTGTTAAACGCTAGCACCATCTACTGGTCCAGAAGGTCCTTTCAAACTTTAGAAAAAGCTGTGGAAAGTGATCCAGCCAAAATGATGCAAAATGATACTGACAGTAACACGTAGTTTTTCAGTCCCTGTACAGGCAAAAGAAGAGAAAAAGGAAAGTATTGTCTTGTCATTACCGATATCACTTTAAAAAAAAGGTAGAACAGAGTACTAAATTTCATTTAGGCAGAGATTATATGAAAAGAATGAAAGGATTAGAGAGTTACAAAGATTTGGGTAATGAACATTATGATCTTCCACTGTGGTGCAAAACTAATCTGCAGTGGGAGACACAGAACTTTTAGTTCTAGATCCAAGTTAGGCACCTATGGATCCTGGATAGGTTGGCAAAAAGAACCTGGTATTACACTGCTAGCATTCAGTACTTTAGATTCTACTAGAAAACTAACTTTTACCCTATATGTTAAAATCCAGCAAATTAGCTTGTTGTAGACAACCACTGCTGTATCAGTTTAGGATCTTTACATTACACTGTAATTACAAACGTCATTACAATAATAATATTTGTAATAATAATAATAATATTACAATGTAATAATAAATGTTATTACAATACCTGTTGCATTTTTGCATCCTTTGTTGAACCTGACCCTAAAAATGTAATCTACTTGCTGATGCATTATTGGGACAACTGCTCATTCCCCTGCTCCACTGAAAGAACTGGCTCAAATGAAAACTGGCTTCAGGCAGTGCCTGGCATCCTGCCTCCTGGCTGTGCTACAGTCTTCATTTACATCCACTGCTCCTCATACAGCTATGGAACTAAAATCTTCATTCCTGTAAAAATTGTTCACAGTTCTTCAGGTTTCTTGGAAAACTTAGTATGGCATGGCATCACTTTCAGTTTCATAATGCAATACTTGTAAGGAAGAGGAATGTGAGATGCAGCTGTATAACAAGTCATGCTGTTTCTAGAGATAGAGGCAAGCAAGAGATAGTAGGTGAGAGACCTAATTACATTACCTTGATTTCCTTAAATACAAGGACTCCCCACATTGCAGCAACAAGGCCGGGACCCTAAAGAATAAGATTAATTTATACATTACACAATTTCATTAAAATTTACTCTGTCACATTACTGCTCTTAGGGTGATTGACTTTTGTCTGGATAACACATTCAAGTCTTTCCATTCTGCATAATTAAAGCACTCATGACAAAAGCATAAACATCACTGAAATATACTAATTAAGATACAATAAAATCTTCAGGAAGGGTTAAAGATTCAAGAAACTGTCTTTATGGGGGCTGTTTTTGAGGTGTTTTTTTTTTTTTAATGTTTTTTTTTTTTAGTAGGCACAACTACTTTCTAAATTACACTGAGGAGTCTGCTCCAGTTGTTACATGTTCTTTCAGTAGACTCCAAATAACAAGCCTCACTTCAGTCCAAATTAGAGTCCACAATGTTTCCTAATGTTTTCTTTATTAGCATGACAAACTACTGGACAAAGTTTGATTTTATCACTCAGTATGATATCAAGAGACTGAAACATAGATGTATTTCCTGTATAGCTGGCATCTGGACAAAGCACAAAGCCAGCCAGGGAGACAGGTCAGGGAAACTCCTAATTTTCCATTATATTGTTGTAGAGGTTTCCTGGCTAACAGCAAACAGTGATACACAACAGCAGCTTCCAGGCACTCTTGGTAATAGAGTTTTTCCCCTGAGGGAGAAATGATCTGAATTTTCATCTCTGATGAGAAAATATCTGAACATGAAGCAAAAAAACTCTGTTAATGCTTTGCATTGGAGCTGTTCTGAGAAACACTTGACAGATGTTGGCCAGTGACCTTCCTCTCTTCATCCTCAATGCAGCTGATGGGACACAGATATAAACAGCAGTGTCTCATGCTGAATATATGTGTGGGTGCTGTTTCCTAGTGACTTTGCCAACTATTATTTGAGGGGTTATTTCACTTTATAGATAATGTGCACTGTGAGAAGAATGCACTTTAAAAAAATGGAACGAAGTGTTAAAGGGATGTGATGAATACCTCTCTAAATATTTTCTCCAGGATGAAATAAAGCAGCAGTTCTAAACCTGTGGTCCAGATAGTCAGTTTCTCATCAGTGCTTCCTTATATTTTTCATTTTGTGATTTTACATCCTTGCCCTGTAGGCATACTGATAACTAAACTACTAAAGCTGCTTTCCATTAATCCTTCAATTTCTAATTAGAATGATCCCAAGTTTTTTTTTTCATTGCATACTGCAGAGTATATTTTGACTTACTGCATCTTGAGGCAAAGCTTAATCCCTATTAAAGCTGTTTCATTAGTTTGCTTCCAAAATACAGCTGTTAAGCAAAACTTTGATCTTAATATTTATTAACTCTCATTTGCCACCTTTGCATTACCAACTAGTGCAGTGTCTAGAGAGTAAATGCAAAGTTTACTTTTACCTAGTAATTGGAATTTATGCTTTAAAGGTACATCATAAACAGGAATAAAACAGACACAGAACAGGCCAACCTATTTTCCACACATTTGTATAAGAACATTATTTTCAGTAGTATATAATCTGTTCTGTTTGTTCAAGAACTGTAAAAAGAAAAAATGCCTAACTTAAGCAAGCAAAACAGCTACTAGGGGATAAAACTCATAAATTCAGAAACATCCAGACCAAAATGTACTTCCTGGGATGAAAGCATAAAAAATTATTCTTATAATCACTTCAATTAAATAGTTAATATTGATATTAACTTGTAATTCTGCTTACAAAGCTTTGGCTTTTACATAACCTGACGACTCACACTCTCAATTCGTCTGGTTTTTCTTATGCTTGACATTAACCAAGATGGTGCTTGTCACAGTCATTCATATTGCTAAAAATCCAAAGACCAGTGTGGACAAGCAGAGGAGGCACTGTATACTTTTGACTAACAATGCTCAGACCCATCATAATTTCAACTCAGTTCCAAAGACAGAAGGGTAAAAAACCCATTCACTTTTAATTCTAGTTGGAGATTCTATTTTTTATATACTTACTGCAGTAATTATTGGAAAGCTCACGACAGCACTGAGATAGTGATTGGCCAGGAACCAGCAGCAATTGGCTATTGCCCAAAGCACACCAGAAACAAACCCTAGAAAAATAAATCCCAATCAAAAACATGCATAGCAAGGTATAGGCAACAGTTTGTGGAAGTTTTATACTTATAGCATAAGACAGCAATTGGATATAAGTATTTTAGTATGTTAACTACTTTAACAAGCTGCCTCTGGCAAACTAAACCAAAGCTTGAAGAATAAAAATCAGCTACTCCAACTGAAGTAGCAAATTAATTTAATTTATTATTTTCTGGGCAAGGTGCTCTCCACTCTTGGCCATCAGATTTTGAAAATCTGCAGTGTCACTTTGTTCTTGTTTCAGGTTAGAACAAAAGTTATCACTGTCTCCTAACCTTAATTAATTAATCTAGCAGTGCTCTTTCAAAAGAGACAATAAGTTAAATGAAGGTGAAACCACAACTGAAAGGTGAACCAAAATTCCAACACACAACTTGAACTAATCACTGCAAAATGGTCCAAAAAAGTAGCCGAAATTAAATGCTGATTTTAAAAACAGTCATACCTGGCAATATGGCTTGGGGATAAACACAAGGTTTATTTTTCCTGACTGCACAATAGATCAAAAAGTAGATGGTACTTGTAAGAAATATTCCACTGAAGTGTGCAAAAACATAATCTAAATCTGAAAGAGAAATTACAAAATGTTAGTAAAAACACCAGTTATTAATTTAAACAAAATGATATTCACTGATAACATTCATACAGACAAAAAAGCATAAAGGTGCTACTCCTAAGAATTCAAATTCAAATCTCATTGTGCTGAACACCGCTGCCAGTCTGTGGATGCATACAATCAATGACATCTATTAAACATGAACTAAATGTTGTGTTGACTTATTGCAGGCTTCTAAACATTTCTATAAGCTGTTATTTTCTGAACTCTATTACATACTCCTGAATTAACTAAATAAAACCTTGAGAAAATCCTCAGGTGAGGCTACAAAACTGGGGTGGAGATTTTATATAACTGTAGATGGTCAAGAGAACTTGTAATTATGTTCCTCTATTCCATTCCTGTATCATTGTTTTGTTCTGTACATTTAAGGGCAAGATCACTGCACAGACTATGTAAGCTAAATATAGCTCAGTTTTGTCCTTTTTTAATCTTGAAGGATGTATCACAATTTTGATCACTAGAATTATGAAGAATAACAAATCCTTTACAGATTTTGTACGCACTAAGAGAGTGTTTCCCACATGGTAAAGCAGAAGCATGTAGCAAGGTAATCCTTGTCTCCTTGGAGCTATAAATTCTCAACAGGAAAGGCAGCTATGGTAATGACAACATCTATTTTGCCTGGCTGGGGAATATATACATTGCAGTATTCAAGAGAAATTGTATATGTCAATGGTGACATTATGTGTTCTCAGCAGTACTTTGCTCTTAAGGTGCTTCAGGCATTACCTGATAGAGTATAACCTGAACCTTGAGGAAAATGTTTCTGGGAGAATGTTGTTTGAAAATGGCAATTAGGCTTATGTTAAACGGTTTAAATTTAAAAAAGAACATGGTTTTAATTACTTATGTTATTACATAACTTTTCTCCTCATCTGTTATGACCAATCTTCTCTTCCTTTATTGCTGTTGGCACCTGGCAAGCTTGTGTCCTAGTTTAACTCATTCTCCACTCATACAAACTCTGTATTTTAAGAATGCTAATATTTAATGCCTTCAGAAACATACCTGTTAAGCATGGTAGTCTTTGGGCTGTTTCTCAGTGTTTTTTATGGTGTAATTCACCTCTGAGAAAAAGGGAGTGCTAGGGCAACATATAAAGTAGTGCATGATAAAGTGATAAACTGTCATGGTATATTTTCAAGCATATCAAGAACTTCACCCTATGCCTTCAAAAAGCAGAACACAATGATGAAATGAAGTAGAAGTGATCAATTAGCCTTTACCAAACTGACTTGCTCCTGTGTATACAGTTTCATTTCTTCTTCCATGGTCCTTGATGTAAAGTACTGGTACAAAACTAGAACCGTAGAGTATTCCAGCCACCACAGCCAGGCTACAGCCTCTTTAAAAGAACAAAAATAAAAGAAAATAGCCTTGCATGAGTTAAGGAAGTAGAGAACACATGTAAGCCCAGTACTGCAGGTAAAAAACTGTCCATCATATAAAAATTGCTAGCCATAAAAATAATACATTTTAGCCCACTTTTATTTTCTGGTAGAGAAATGGTTCATGTAGTTTCCCTCTACTTTGTAGCCAAACAAAACAGACAATGCCTGCTGCAAAAGCCAGTAATCTAGATTAATGACATGGGAAATTAAATAACTAGGATTTCCTAAAAGCAGAGCTAGGGGACAAAAACCAAAAATTCAGTTTAAAATGCTCCCACCCTCACCTCTGTTGTTGCCATCTATATATTCTTTATAACTTCCCAGGTTCATTGACTCTTCAGTCTGCTTCTCCATCTCCAGATTGCTGTGTTCTTGGCAGTCTCCACTCCCCACACTGGCTTCTTGTTAGCTTGCTTCCACTTTGAAGCACTTTTACTAGTCTCCTTACCATACTGCCATGCCTTCTCCAGCTGTATTCACTTGGAAAACACACCTGGAAGCATGTCATTAGCACAGGCTTCTTCTATGCTAGAGTGGTAATCAACTAGGTGCTAAAACCCAGCTCTGTAATTACTGAGTTGACACTGTTATTTCCTTTGCCAAATTATATTTTTCACAGTAGTACCTAATACTTGATTGGTAAGGTTAGACACAATCAACAGTGCTAATGGAATAATCTATATAGCTGTGCAACTATTCATATATAGATTTGCACACTACACTTGTATGTAAAAACCTGTTATTTATTGTATGACTTTGCTAGAAAACCACAAATTCTACTCTTACACTGTGTTTAACTACTTTCTCTGGCTACTTTCTATGCATCAGCAAAAGAACTGTTAAAAACTTACATGAGTCTCCTTTTTGCTGGAGAAAGTTTGTTCACCCATGAGTCCTCAGTGGTATCTTCAGAAACATTAATAGACTGCAAAAAACCCAAGAATTTTCATGCAAATTTAGTTTAATTTAATTTCTTAAAATGTGCAATTTCTTAAAGCATCTTCTGTGATTCCCTCTGGTAGATTGGAACCCCTAGTGAGCACTAAGCACAACTAGGAAACTCTCGGGGCTCTCTGTCCAGGTAGCCACTGAGCACTGACCTCCAGCAGTAAGGTACAATGGTAGGAGGAGCCTGTGGTTCTCCAGCTCTCCTTGCATACTTTGGGCTCCCTAAGGAGCGACAGCCAATCTGGTACCCCCTCACCGGCCTCCAGCCCGTGCCACAGCTGATGATGACAGTCATCAACTCTTGGCAGCCTCCTGGATCTGCAAGGTGACAAAAGCCTGGCCTTTCAACTAAGCACCCTCACAACTTTACAGCTAATGTTTTACTGAAATTGCTTCCTCTTTTCATATAAGAAAGTAATACACTCTTCTATATGATCTCCATCATAGTCAAGAAGGACTTTCTAAGCCATCTAAAGCTGACAAACAAGAAAGAACACTTGGGAATACATTTTCTGTTGCTAATACCCAAAATTATATCCAAGATCCACAGATTAAGATACAGTACATATTGGTGTTGTTTTATGTAGTCTACCATAAATCCTCGCAAACCTGACTAACAAACACATTTTTTGTTTTAAGATGGATATGTATTTTCACTGCTGTAAAATAACAACTGTAGAGTACTTACACTTTCTCTCAGTAAAGGTGTGCTTTCTAATGAAGTTGAAGAACTCTGGACTTCAGTTTTTATAAAAAGAAATATGACCGCACTCAGAAGAGAAAAATAGACCAATAAATACCATGTCAGTTACAAGGACATTAACATTTAGCGTCCAGAGACAAAAGTTTTACTTGGAGGCATATTCCTTTGTTTTCATTACTACCCTACAGTCACTGCAGCATATTTAAAAATGCAATTGCTTTAAAGTCATAACTTACTATGGTTATATATACATAAAAGATATAAATGTAATAACTTTAACTTATTAATTTGATTTAGCAAAAAGATAACCTAAGTGAAAGTAAGTAAATAAATCGGTTTTTGTATTACTTTATAGATCTTTCTTCTTATGTAATGCGATTGAAATATCTTTTAACAGTGTGCAGTCACAACTACGTTAACAACAGATGCTTTAGCTAACAGTGCCCTTTTGTACCAAACCACACGCAAATGGACCACATGCTTGAAAATTCTACATGGAACAGCTTAAACCTGTGTAAAATTGCCTCTATATTCATGAAAAAATACTAATTTTTAGTCTTCCATCATATGTGAGGAATGGGACACTGCTGCTACAGGGCCTTGCGAGCGTACAGAAGGAAAAGGGAATTGCTCAGCACTGCTCAGTGCATTAAGTGAATAAAATGGAGAAGAAAGAAGAAGGGTAATATTACTTTTGCGAGTGTACAGAAGGAAAAGGGATATTGCTCAGCGCTGCTCAGTGCATTAAGTGAATAAAATGGAGAAGAAAGAAGAAGGGTAATATTACTACTCTTAACCCTACCTCCAGGAGACCAGGTAAATACATGCAATCAGAACTGGAAGGATCTGTTTTTGACTTTTATGAAAAACATTTTCATCTAGGAATTTCTTCTCCTAGCTGTAAACAGAATATTTCCATTTGAAGAAGGATTGATTTCTTACTGATGGAATAAGCACAGTTACACAAGCATGTCAGTTTCCTCCAGAGGAAACATACACAGATTTCACACAGGAAGCTAAAATGAAAAGCCTGCTTCTGAGCTCCACAGAGCAACATGCACAGGCTTTGTGCAGTTTGCCAGGGAAACATGTTTGCTCACAATCTCTCTCCCTGTTGGTCACTCCTCCATGATATCTCAGAAACAGGAAGCAGGTGGTGAGCTGCATGAATCCATCAGGCAGGAATAGCAGTACTGCTACTATTTCCTCAGTAACTCCCAAAATCATGTGCCACATGTAAGAGGAATAGATACAAAGCTGCAGACTCTTAGAAAAGAAGAAAAGTGGAAGCCATAATCATGAATCTAAGGGAGAAGCTCTGTCCTACTAGTGAGAAATGGCTTATCTCCATGTTTTTAATACCCTCCTTTTCTGAAAGGCATTCTGTTCATCTTCTGTCAGCATGCTTATAGTAAGCCCTTAGGATTTAGGGTCATCTTTCCAGCCACCCAGCTGGAAAGCAAGAACACTGCTACATAACAAAGATCCTCTTTCCTCTGTCTTTGGACCAAAATGTATGCATTCATACAAAGAGCAAACACACAAAAAGAAAGAATAAAGTCCTTCCAAAGATCCTGAAGGAAGACGCTGTGTGGTATTTGGAAGTGTGGCTTAAGACTTACATGACACAGAGCTATTACAGATAGGAAAACATGCAAAGCCTCTAGCCTTTCATGGACCCCAAAGTACCAGGGAAGGGGTTCTGTGGCATATTCTATTGTTATGAGATTAAGATTTGTATCCCTGACTGAGTGAAGTGAGATCAGAAATCTGAAGTTTTCTCAACAAGATTCTTTTAGTCAGTCTATCCTCTGATAGGATTTGGGGAAGTCAACCATTAGAATAACCTAGCTAGGGAGACAATTCATGCATCTCTGCTTTGCCTTGAACATGCCTACCAGCATAAAAATATATTTTTGTGTTTATGGATAACCATTTCACTCCTGTACTGGAAAACATGTCTGTTTCTACATGAACACTGACCAACTAGGTATGGATAGCTCATGAATTTGGAAGTATATTGATTTGCCAAAGAATATTCAAAACACTTGTTCTCTTGTTAAATCATCCTGGTGGTTGGTTATTAAATATGTAGTTTACATAACAGATATTCATTATAAGAATAAATTTTTACCTTATAAGTGAAAGTCCAGCTCCAATATAATTTAAGATTGGTCTTGATACCTCTTCCGGGTCAATTCCAAACCAACCAAACCTGGAACATTCAACCAGTTTCACTCAGACACACTGACTTTATATAAATAGTTAAATTATAACTTAGTCTTTGAAGTCTTGACTCATGTCAATAATTCTGCTTAAGTATATATTTTCAGTATTAGATCAGTGCTTCAGTTGGCTTGCAAAAACCTATGTCTACTTTACGAAAATGTTTAATTTAACATGCATTTTTAAAATATCTATATTTAAAAAATGAAGTTATTTTATCAAACCAGATTGCAGAAGAAAAAATACAAATATGTACTAGTTTTACATTAAGAAATACATTATTTATCCACACAATAACATCACTGGGCATTCTTCTTTCTATTAAAACAGAGGAAATAGAAATACAAAAAGCTAAAAACAGTTAACTTGAGAACTTTCCACTAAAAAGGAAAAGTTTTAATACATAAATAGGATAGTTTCAATACATAAAAAGGATAGTGGTAGGCTTGGCAGTGTTACATTAATGGCTGGAGTTGATGATTTTAAAGGTCTTTTCCAATGACTCTATGATTCTACAGGTGAGTTTTCACTTATTAATGAAGACGTGGCAACATTATTTATGTTATTAATTAATTAATTACTTAAGATTTAAAACATATTTACCTTGAACTTGCCCAGCCTGTCAGCAAATTAAAAGAAGCCCATATCAAAAGACCAAGAGCTAAGCCAATAGTTTTAACAATAGGGACAACTGTAATGTTGCCTGAAATACAAAAAGAAGAACTGTCATCAGTTAAAAAATAGAATGTGATCTTGTATTTGTTTGCTTTCAGTTCTGTACCTGGTTGGAAGGTAAAGAAATTTAGGACGCTACAAGGTAGTAAAAAAAAAGTTTTTAAAAATAAATACACTAAAATATAGACTTTTCCTCCATATAGTTTTAAACATTATTTTTGGTGTGAATTTGCCTCTTATAAAACAAGCATAATAAAACAGTATTTACTATAAATTCCATTAACAGTGATGCTTAAAGAACTGAATAACTATTAAATAACTACTATCTTATATATGGAAAAGTTTCAAGAATTGTAATCTTTATCCTCACCTGTAGCCCACACAAAACCTCCAACCATAGCCAGAGGCCAAAACCGGGGGCAATTCTGGATCAAATTGACCACCAAAGAAACTATCCATATGGAGGCACAAAGAATCCACTGGAAGAACATGCCTGTGGAAAAATCAAATGCACACAATAGGGAATTTGTAGAATACTGCATGCATGAATCTCTTAACAGTTTATGTTTATCTTTGATGCACTAGTAGAGAAAAAAATCAAAAAGGGGGCCACTGCCTTTGTGAATGTCAGGGAATCTTGTTACAATTTATTCAAAGAATGCATTTTTAGGGTGGGTTAACCATAATTTGGTTAACCTTCTCCTTATCACACATTCTTCCTAGAGGGTTGCAAAAGACACTTTGCTGGCCAAAGTTTGCACAAGCCCTAATTCTTAAACACATGAAAAGTGTGATGGACTTCTGACAAAGATGATATTCAGTTGCTGCAAACTTCTCCCACCACTCCAGTAGCTGCTAACACGGAGGACTGCACAGGATGAGACTTTTTCAAAGCTCAAGCTCTTCTGGTAATCCCAGACACTGAGGATGGTCAGTGACAGATCTCTCCTACCTCTGTAGATTCTTGAAGGGTCAGTTAGGCAGACCAGTTGACTTTACCCCCAAGCTTGTGTTGTTAGGGTCATATTTGGCACAAAGAGCAGAGGCTATATCCAGCCTGCAATGCAGGTACCATATTGCAATAATATAATGGTAAATTTACTCATTTACAGATCTGTTAATTGGTTATGCTTCATATAAACAGGAAAATTTAACATAAACCTAGCAAAGTTACAATATTCCAAGTAGGAAATAGGAATGATTGTTCCCTCTTACCAAGTCAGCAAACAAAGTTACTAAAATTTCAGTTTTTGTTTTTATGTCAGGTGTGCAATTGAAAGGCAATGCTCCAAAGTCTAAAAACTTTTGCCTTATTTATAAATAACACTTTATGTATCCGGGAATCCCCACAAGGGTAGAACAAGGAACATTCATTTTCCATTGTGAAATTCTCATGAAATGTACATCATCACTGTTAAAGTGCACACCTTATAAAAAGGCTCTTCTAAAGATATGCCACATTCTGAAGCAGTATTATTGCTTTATACCCTAACAACAGCTGACAAAATTAAACATATTTTCTGGATTAAGTCTGTGATGATGGCACCTAGTAATTTGCTGGTAAAATATTATTCCTTTTAGCAAATATAGCAAACCAAAGAAAAGAGCATAATTAAATTTACCATCACCAGTATCAAATTTCTTGACAGGCACAAAGTTTGTCCCAAATAGAAGGACAGCTACTGTGGAAGAGGTAAAACCAATAGCTAGATCTGTTCCATTGCTGATGTTAGCAGCACTGTAAGCTTTCCCGATATTCATCTTTGTTCTGAAGGTGTTTCTTATTGTGGAGTTGTTTTGCCGCAGGTCCGGACAGAATCTGGAATGAAAGAATGGAATTAAACGTGTGGACTATTAATGAATACCAACCTAGTTTAGAAATCTGAAATTGACAGGACCCTACCCTTTGAGAGATATTAATCTCTCAAAGCTGAAACGAACTGCAAAGAGGTTAATGAAGAAAAGGTTCATGTAGAACCCCATGAAAACTTGCCATAAGACATGAATAAAGTGACTTAAGAACAGATAAATGAAAAACCCCCAATACTGTATTTCTGTCAGAAGACACAAGATGTGAATGTAGAAGTGCACTCAAAGGTTATGAGGACTTAAATTTCTGAGGGCTACGGGAAGCATTGATACTTTAGTGAGATGGTATCAGAATATTCCTTATTCCTGTAGCCAAAAGGTGGGTGGGTGGAGGGGGTCACACTGGGGTGTGTCAAAAAATGGGGTTAGACAAAATCTTAACTGGCAGAAGCATTTACAGCAGACCCATTGTCAAGAAGTCAGGAACAAGTGCAGAGTCTATAGGTGCCACAGAGAGATCAGTATGGAATCATAAGGTAACCACAGGGATTGCTCTGTTACTAAATATGAACAGAGGTTCATTTTTCTGTGGGGAGCAAAGGGAGAAAAATTTCTGCCTCTAAAATTTCCTTGTTCATTCCATATAAGTATATGAAGAAAGGCCAAGATCATTTTAATCCCAGAACACCTTGGACTTTTTTTAAAGTGAGTCATCTTGAGGTTACACTCAACAGACGAGCCACACATGCACTTTTGATATGGAGTATCACTTTGACAGAAAAGGTGTCTCTGAGGACAACCATAACAATGTGAACTTTGTGTAACTAACTTTCCAAAACTTGGGACACTTTGTTCCAAATTTGGCTAAATTTCACACCCAACTTTCAACTCCATTTCAAATCCTTCAAGAGAAAGCTTAATGGGACAAGGCCTGAAGCAACCTGCTCTAACTTCAATGACAGCACTGCTTGCAGCAGGGAAATGAACCAATGACCTATAGAGATCCCTTCCAAGCTAAATAATTCTAATACTGTATGATTAAACATCAAGAGCAAATAATAAATTGTCACACAACATTAAACTGACTATATTTTTTCTACATACTTTCCACATCAGAGAGCTTCTGTGAGTTCACTAAAAGCCTCTTCTCTTCAATCCTATGTTACTGCCAGATGGACTTGCATATGTCCCTCCAAAGACTTAAGAGGTAAAAAATGCCAAAATCAGAACAAATGCCAAATGCTGAAGCTGCTACGCTCTTAAAGCATAGTGGTAGTAACTGAAACTCAAGCAAAGGCAACTGCAATTGACACTGTTATTGAAGGCTTTTTTTCCACTAAGCTGTCCTTAATGAAAGGTACTTCAGGATTCTCAGCAGCAGAAAAAATACAATTTTGCTACTGGATGTTGGAATTTTGCTGGTACACATTGCTCTTTTCCTACTAAGTTCATTGGTTCACGCCACTGGAGTGTTGTGCTCTGCATTTCCAGAATTCCCTCAGAAAAATGACCACAATTTTGCTATTGGATGTTGGAATTTTGCTGGCACACATTGCTCTTTTCCTACTAAGTTCACTGGTTCACCCACTGGAGTGTTGTGCTCTGCATTTCCAGAATTCCCTCAGAAAAATGACACCCACAACAAACCATGATGCTCATTTACTGCAGCAGCAACACATTACTGCAATCTGTGCAGAGAGGGACAAAATCAAGAGGCCCTGTCCTTGAGAGCTTTCACCTCAATGGTGAACCAAATTGTTGCTAAGATTCCAAAGAACCTCTTTGCTAATTAAGTGGCATTTTTACACGTTGCATGTTGTACTGACTGTCTATTTGTTCATTTCTCCTATTATCCATTTACCATTAAGGGTGGATAATTTCACCCTTAACTTAGGGCGCTCCTACGAGTTCTGAGGTGGCTCAGATCAACGTGCACAAGTGACACCATAACCCTTGCTCTAGCGACGTATCTTGGCTGAGGCGAGCTCTTTTAAAAGACTTTCTTCGGGCACTGTTTTCACTAAGTGCTATCACGGAACAAGGAAAATGCTCAGCTCACAGCTCCACCCGGGCCGCTGTGGCTTCACTGACGCCACCGCGCCGGGGCAGGCCCGGGCTGCGGGCGGGACCGGACCGGACCCGGCCCAGCCCTCGGCCCCGGCCGCCGCGGAGGGCAGCTCGGCCGCTCGGCCCCGCACCCCGAGGGGATACCCGAGACCCCGCCCAGCCCGGCCGCCCGCCCGCCCGCGCCGGCGCCGCCCCGCGCCTCGGCCCGCCTCCATCCGCCTGCTTCCATGCGCTTCTGCCCACTGGCCTCTCTTCCCCGTCCGGGAGCGGGGCGGAGGAGGTTTGCGACTGCTTTAGTCTCGCCGCCATGGTGGCTTCTCTTCTGGCTGGGAAGAATCGTTAAGAGAAAACTTAAATTAATGCACTCATGTCGTGATAAAAGCGCCTTTGGTCCTCTCGGCCGTAAGGTTGCGGATGAGACAGTTCCCTGCCTAGTGGAAGTGCAGCTGTGCACTCCGCAGGCCGGTGGTGCTGTGACCGTAACTGAACAATCACAGAATCAATCGTGTTGGAAAAGACCCCTGGAGATCATCAAATCCAATCTGTGACTCAAGACCACCATTCCAGCTAGACCGTGGAGTGCACGAAGTGCCACATCCCATCATGAGTGACTCCACCACCTCCCTGTGTTCATTCCAGTGTTTAGTCACCTGCTGTGTGTTACATCCAGTCTTAAACACCTCCAGGGACGGTGACACCACCTCCCTAGACACTATATCGCAATATTTTCTGTGAAGAAATTCTTCCTGATGTCCAGCCTAAACCTCCCCAAGCTGAGCTTGAGTCTATGCCCACTTATCCTGTTGCCTGGGAGAAGAGGCCAACCCCCACTTGGCTACAACATCCATTCAGGTGGTTGTAGAGAGCAGTAAGGTCTCCCTTGAGCCTCCTTCAGGCTGAGTGCCCCCAACTCCCTCAGTTGCTCCTACAGGACCTGTGTTCCAGAAAAGGCACCAGAGGTTTGGCAGCACTTGCCCAGGAACACAGACGTGGTTCCAGGATGGGGCTGCCTGCAGAGGGGACAGCATGGCCTCCTTGCAGCTCCTCTCACTCCTGAGGTCTCCCTGGCTGCTGGAGGCTGTCACGGGGCTGGGGCTGCAGGCACCTGTACGGGGGGACAAGCATTTTGGGGCATTTTGAGGCCATGCAACGGCTGCTGGCCCTGTGGTGTGCAGCAAGGCAAGGAAATCACCAAGCCTGGTCAGGACAGACAGGTTTTTATTTTTCTTAAGAACAAAATTTACCAGCTGTTGGTCTGGAAGCCCCTGTGTTGTTTGGCAACCAAAATCAAGTAGGAAAAAATCTTTTACATGCTGTCAAGAAGAGGTCTTTGCAGATTTCCCTGTAAGGATTTGATCCGGGCCAGTTAAAGCACAGACTGTTAGTCAGCATGTTTAGTCACGAAGCAAACATTTCTCTCTGTACTCTTGAAGTACAGTTTCCAGATGGCAGCCCAAATTGATCTCCTTACAAACACAGCACGAGCCTCCTAAAGTAATGATTCATATTTTGCAAATCAAATCTGCATTATCCATAATAAGGGCTTACTTTGTTTCTCTGGAGAATAAGTTGTCAGTTGTATGGATTTAGTAAAGCTAGGAATGCACCATTTATCAATCATTTTAACATAAATGTCTGTCCCTGTGTCATTTAGAGATGAATAGCAGAATGTCTCTATGGAAACAGTATGGCTATAGTGCATCTAAGAGAAATAATGTTCCATATCATAATCGCAAAGGTAGTCTGCAGAAAAAAAAGAATTCTAAAGGCAGTCAAGTGTATGGGCTGCATTTTATTCAGAAAAAAAGTGATGGGAAAAATGTTAACCTTTTCCATTGAAGTGCCTGCACATAGAAAGCAAGAGCACACACATTAAGGAGCCTACTCTGTAGCCACATGCTTTCAGGTGCCCAGAGATCAAGAGAAGTCGAGATGTAGCACCTTGTGACTGGTGGGCATTGGCACACTCCATGTGTGTCTGCAAATTGGCCAGAGACCTCCTGCTAGGAGCAGTGCAGGCCACCAGCTGCTTCAGATTCTACAGCTTGTCCAGCACCAGCAGAAAACCTCTTCAAAAACAGGTGGAGGTGGATTTCAAAGTTAAACAAAACAAAACAGAAGAAAAGAAGGAAGAAAATAATTGCAAATAGTTAATCCAGCTACTCATTCACATTTAAAAAATATACCTAGGTCTGTAAGGGACTAGAAAATACTTCTTTAATTCTCCTCTTCCATTCATTGCTATTTTCCTATATTAGTTTTTATATGCTTGTTTTCCTAACCTTAGGAAGGTACAACATTGACCATGAAATATGGGTATATGAAGAAATTACATGAAAAGCTGAATTTAATGGATGCAGATGGCAATATCACAGTTATAATTTAGAGCAAGGAACAAATACAAAATCTGACAGATATTACAGGCTAGCTCTAGGGTATCAAAGTGAAATAATGTAGGCCAGAATTTGGTCAGACAACAACTGCTGTTCTGAAAGTTTGTCTTAAATATTTTATTACCACAGAGGAAGTACTGTTTCAGCTTAGTAGCACCATTTAGTGTTTTTCTGTAGCTTTGGGTTAGAATGATTCCACAGAGAAGAATAGTACCAACTGAACAAAACCCATTTTCTTTGTTTCTTGTGAAACACAATGATTTTTTTTTTTCCCAGACAACTCCATACTCATTTCAGCTTTCCTTATTTTATGGTATCTGCTAGGGCACTGGAGCTGTACACCTCAGGGGCTGAAACAAACAAAAAAAAATCGCTTGATATTTTGCCTTTTAAGAATCCAAAATTAGAGGCAAACATCTTTTAAACTAACAAGATACTGTATTCTATCTCGTTGGTTTTCTACCACCATCCATTCCAAAGAACATACCAGTACCTGAGTTCTCTCTTCTGAACATGAGAAATAAAGGAAATACAGTTGCTATTATTACCTTTAGAAAGCCTCAAAAAAC